TTTTGCATTCCTGCATAGAAATCTTTTATTTCTTTAATTGTAAAATGCTGAAAAAGAAGCTATATAGAAGGAATAATGTTATCGTACATTTGTTTACACTAGCAGTCAAATATTGTCCAGGAATAATTCCTAATTAAAATGTGTAATGAAAAATTACATGTCTTAAGTTTTACATTGTGTGTTTTGTTTTTCATTGATGGTCCATAAGCCAGGAATGCAGGTTTGGATAATGATTGCCATTTTAGATGTAGTGTATCTAAATCCAGATCCAGAGGTATACATTTAGTACTCCTGTTCATTTAAAAATCTTATAAAGAGCTATCAAAATAATATTTTCAAAGTGTTGTTTATGAAATAATACATATTTTCTGAAGTCTCTCATTTTGGCAGGAAAATGAAAACTAAAAGGAATAGATAAAATAAAACCACAAGCTATAAAGCTCCTTTGCAGATTTTGCATTTACATCCTATCTTATAATTAAAACTGTTCCAGTAAATGTTCCGTACTTGATATTTTGAACTCAGGGCTTCATGAAATTCCTTATTTTAAAGTTACATTTTAAAGAAAATTGAAAACTTGTATAACTTTAATAGTGAACATTTTTGATGCATTGTCAGCTTCTAAAATATTTATTTTTGGCAAGACAGTAAGGTGAAATGACTGAAAGAACAACTGCCTTCACTGAGTTTTGCACTTTAAAGGCCGACTTCTTTTGATTTGGTTTTGTTTTGGCTGTAACACAAGTGCTTTTAAAAAGTGGTGTACCATAGGCTAACTTTTTTATAATGTCCTATGTGTGTATAATATCTAATGCGTTGAAAGTTGAAGTAAATTTTCATGGAATATTTGTTCCAATGGAAAGAAAAATCTGTTTGTGCTCCTTGAAGAACAGGAATATGTATTTTCACGCCTAACCACAAGCAATGAGTAGTTGCATCCCTATGCTTTAAATGTTTTCAGAGTAAGGTCTCAATATTCAATGTTATTTTTTCTGTAGTACCTGGTTGTATAACATTCAGCAGTGGTATCTTCTGTTGGAGTATTGGTAGCTTAACTTATTCTTTATTTTGATAGAAGGCCTCAAAGTATTTTTAAAAAATAGTATTTATGTACATTATTACGTAAAATAGTTGCTGCTGTTGCACAACCAAATTGCTCCGCCTATTTCTATTTCTATAGCTTAAATAACTTTTTTTCTGGTTACAGTTAGATTTTTTCCCCTACTGAGCACTTCTTTAAATTTTTGCTGAGATTTTCCAACGTAATTGTCCTGCTGACATTGAAAGGCTTTAGGGTATTTCTTAATCAGAGGTATTTTTTTCATCTACAGTGTGACATTTGTATGTGTAATATTTCTGTGTTTGAAGACCCAGTGGATATGCCCTGTGGACATGACTTCTGCAGAGCATGCTGGGAGGCGTGAGTATATGTACTTTTCTGTCTTTTGAGAAACTTTCATACTTGCCATTTTGAAGAGGAAAGGACAGAGACCATAAACAGCTAATGTTAAAGTACTGTTTGGGTTTCAAAGAGTTGCTGGTTTGACCCTATCGAATATTTAAGTTGTCACTCAAAGTAGCCATCAACTGTTTTAGGCTTACATAATATTTGGTTTGGTCCTGATTCAGAAAAAATCTTAAGATTGCAAAATGTTTCAAGCTTGTGTGTAAATAGATGAGCCTACTCTTGATTTGCTCAGTGTGTGTTGTGTGGTGTTGGCGGCATTGGGGTTTACACTTTCTAAATTAAGCACATGCTTAATTCCATCTCTTAGTTTAGCACACTAAACTTAGGCATTGTAAATCCATTTCCAGTCAGAAAAGCAATTAAAATGCTTTCTTATGTTGAGGGTAGATAACTGAGGAGTAGCTTTAGCTTAAAAGTTCTATTAGTGTAATGCTCTTGTTACCACATAATTTTTTTTAAAGTCAAGATAGTCGTGCTAGTAGAAAACTCAGACATGGATAATTATGCTAGTGTAAATATTAATCATACTTCCCAGGAATAATTATATCTATATGCAGTGCCTTTACATTAATCTTTGTCCCCATTCAGGAGATTGTACTACTTGAACTGTACCACTTTAGTGTCTTGTTACAGTGTCATATCAGCACAGCTAGTCCTACTGCAAGATCAGCCCAATTTATATGAAACCATTCCTCCTATGTTAAGGAAGAGCACTTTCTCTTCGATATAAGCATTTACAAGGCAATTCTTTTCAGTGGCAAGAAAATTAATAGTCATGCTTCTGTTGTCTTGCAAATCATTATGCAGCGATGTAGAAGTTACCAAGAGATCACTGGCTTGACATGGTGTTTCTAATTTGAGTGCTGGACTATGTGTACAGCGATTTGTGCATGCGCTCAGAGCTACAGTTCAATGTCAGCAAGTGTTGGCAGTGGCACATCTAGGGTGGGATTCACGTTTCCGAGCCAGTCATTTCTAAGTTACTCGGAGTATAGCCAGGACTGAGTTATCCCATTCTAAGATACGAATCTAAGATGGGATGAATTGGCAAGTCTCTCTGCCTTAACTATTAAAGGATCCCAGGTGACAAACTTAGAATAGCTGCCTGTCCTTTTGATGATTGAAGTTAGATGAGATGAGTATCATCCTTGATATCAGATTAATAAATAAGTAACAGCTTTTAAACTAAGCAACCATGTGCACTGTGAGTTAAAGTCCAGCGTTCAGCAGATTTCTGAGCTCGTTCTGTCTTGCGTTCTAGTGCTTAGGGACTATAAAGGTCTCCATTTAGCAATTTGTTTCCAAGAGCAGACTAGCACAGTTGTAAAAATTAATTGCATATCAAATTAATTATTTCCTAAATTAATTACACTTACATGTTCTGTTTCTGATTGAAGTTAGAAGTAATACTCAGTTTAATTAAACATTGCATAGCTCTCTCTGATAAGTGGCGAAGATGGAAACCACAAACACATAGGGCTAAGCATAGCTGACGGTGCTTACTTTTGAACCATGACAGTGTTGTTTTATTTTTTTTTAATTATGCTGTTCATCAAATCTGTAGCCCTTTTGAGCAGAAGGGAGTACTTCCTATTCTTTGTTTAAAAATTGATTAATGTGAGTATCTGTGAACCTAGTATAAAATATTCAGCAGCCTTTTAATTTTTACTTTTTATTCACAAATACTGACTGACAAAATTCTGGCAGATTTTTGAATCTGAAAATTCAGGAGGGTGAAGCTCACAACATTTTTTGCCCAGCATATGATTGTTTCCAGCTTGTGCCTGTAGACATCATAGAAAGTGTGGTTTCCAAGGAGATGGACAAAAGATACCTTCAATTTGACATTAAGGTAAATTATCAAACTGTTCCTGTACTCTTGAACTGTATTTCAGTTTATAAAAAATAACTTACAACTTCTATGTGAAATTCTGCATCTGTAACTTTCCAAGTAGAAATTAATAAATTAGTATGTACACTGAATTATTGGCTGTCTTATCTGCCATAATATCAATGTTTGATATACCACTGAGAAAAAAGAAAGAACATTATATTTATTCCTTAAGCACAAATGCAGTACTTCCATAATGTGTAACCTAATGTAGTGTTAATAACATGATTTGATCAAACTAATGTTCATAACAGGTGATATGAAGCTTTTAATCAGACAGACTTGTTTGTGTTGGCAATGTAAAATTTTTAAGAGTTTTTGGATTATTTTTATTACCAAGAGACTGTTTACGTTCAGAAATAGTACCTGTTTCCATTTTAGAAATTTATTAGTACAAGTGAAATACTTAAATTTTTTTCCATCCAATGCTTGATATGGTTGCTATATATAGGAAGAGAAGTAGGAAAACCTTGATTTGGTTTTCCTGTTTGATATTTTTTGTGTTTATTTCCATCATTGCAACTTGTTTTTAAAAGCAATCTTTTAATTCACCTTTTTTGTTTTATACTAGTGTAGTAATGAACTAGTCTTTGAGATAATGTGCTACTTTATCAGTGGTGGCAGGGCAAAAGAAAGCAGAGAAACATTTTTTCATTTACAATACTTCCTCTGTGTGACAAGTCTCTTTTAATATACAGTAACAGTGTTTTACACAGTAAGATGCAAATTAAATTACCAGATCTGATTAATCTTTTACATCTTCATATTTCAATTGGTTGGTGATCAGCATAAGTTTGAAGCAAAGTAGTGGAAATTCCTTTTCCTGCTCATTTATTAGATGCAAGTTTTACAAAAGAGCACCTGCCACATTAACCAAAAAAAGATTTGAGGGAAATTCTGCATTAGTCTAGTTCTGATTTCTGCAGGTGGGATATATTGAGGGATTTTTGTTTTAATCAATAAGGTTTTAATTCTTTTCAACTACAAGAGTCAGTTCTGTTAATGAGTGTATTGCCAGTGCATATATAGTAGAAGTTTACAGTAAGCCGTATCACAAAGGAATTGACTTGCACACATTGAACATTTTGTTTGGGATGTAAGTCATTTGCATCTTAGCGTAAGTCTGGAGTACTGTTGCTATTTAAAAAAAAAAACCCAACCATTTTTAAGGTGGAGATTAAATTATTCCCTTTTTATAACTATGTCAAACAGCCTATCAAAGTAGCTACAAGATTGTCCTTATGCTTTTTGGCTTTGTTCCTTCAAAGGAAGATTATGAATACAGATTGTTTTATATCAGTGATGAAATCTGATCTTATGTGGTAAAATATTTTCCTTTTTTCCTTTTTTTTCCCCCAGGCCTTTGTTGAAAATAATCCTGCTATTAAATGGTGTCCTATACCGGGCTGTGAAAGAGCAGTAAGGCTAACAAGACAAGGATCAAATTCAACAGGATCAGATACACTGAGCTTCCCTATGCTGAAAGCCCCTGCTGTAGATTGTGGAAAAGGACATCTTTTCTGCTGGTTAGTGCTACAAAGTTATCTACATCTACATAAACTCGCAGTCACTGCTATTCCTTAATTAAATTAATTAAAATTATTTAACTTTAAGCGTGCAACAAAAATTTGGGATGTACTACCCTATATCCATGCACTAAATAATGTCACATGCACAAATACTTTAGTATTTTGGGGCACAGCAGAGGTTTGTAATACTGTTTTACTCATTATTGGCTCTGTTAGATGCAAAACAGCAGTATGGAGCATTGTGATGTTCTGTTCTAAGGGGACAGAGGAGAAGTGGGATATTGGTGGAGGGATTTTTGTGTCTGCTCTGGAGAGTTGTAGTATAATTGAAACATGGCACATTCTGAATTGTAGCACAGAAAATCAGCAATTTTTAGCTCTTTCTGAATTTTGGTAGAATCACATCAAAGAAGCTGGAGTTTAAATAGGACTATGAAGGACCTTTTGCTTCACACATAGCATTTGGTTTGCAGGATCACTCCAATCATTGTTTCGCTTTAAGATCAGCACTTTGTCTTTATGTTATCCTCTATTGAGTCTTAAGATGAATACAAGCTCAAGAAGGAGTAAAAAGCCATAAGATAGTGCCTATCTTCAGCACTTCCAAGGAAAGGTCAACAACAGTATCAACAAAAGCAAAAAAGTGGTGGAATATTTTTCTGAAGTGCAGAGCAAAGCCCTATCCTAGTTCCTTTAGATTATCAGACCGACATCTGTATTGTAGCGGGACATCCTTTTTGCTGTTGGAAAATCAAAAAGGGACAACCAAAGTATACATGTTCAGACAAGCTGATGAGTAATCCTTCTTTTCATTCTTCAATTGAAACCATGATGCAAGAAGAAGAGATCCTGAATAATCTGCTTGATTCCAAATATCCTAAGACTCTTAATGAAAGATGCTTCTGATTTTAGTTCTTTCCCCATATGAATGGAAAGGAAGAAGGAATAAGAGGAAAGTAGACGTAATGAAACAACCACAAATGCCAGAAAACAGAACTTCTTGGAAAGAGGTTGTTCACAACGGATGGAGAGCTCTGAAAGAAACAAATCCTGTGGAAACAAACCAGAAAATGTTTTTTACCGGTGAACATATAACAAACCTTAGTACTATTCCGCAAGAAGGTACCATCCTCTCATCCTTGCTTCTGGTTACAGACAGAGAATCAATTTTTCCATTAACCTGAAGGACAGAGCTTGAGACCACTTTAGTGTAATATTGACATGGTCCTTCAGACATTGGCAGCTTCTGCTTCCTTTACATGGGCTGAATGTATTAGCTCCCCAGAATGTCTTCTGAGTGTGAAAATGTCCTCTGAGTGCCTAATTTTTATGAGAAATGTCTTTTTTATGTTTCCTGATAATATTTCTGAATGTTCTTTTTATGTTAATGCTTTGAGATAGAAGCAAATACGGTTAAGGTCTTGAAAAAGACCTCATTCTAGCAGCAAAATGTCCAAGAAGGCCCTTCCAAGGCCTTTTTTTCATCCCCACAGAAGTGAATGAAGAGTTTCAGCAATGGCAAGAAAGTTCTGCTAGCAACCAAAGCATCCTGCAGTACTATAAATCAGAACCATTTGTTGAGGACAGCCATAGTAGTCTTACAGTACAAGAACTCTGTGCATGAATGAGTTCCTCTGGAGAAAAAGAAAGTGTATTCTCCGTTCAGAGGGTTTTCATTATTATTGTATGCTTAAAGGGAGCTTGCTTTATATCTTTAAAGTTCAATCAACACATCTTACAGTTCCATATGTATGTCAGTTCTGCAAGTTTTACCCAGGTAATCTACAGCTTAGACATTGTAATAACAATTGATACTGCATTTAATAAAAGATTCTTCAGAATTTATGTATTAGAAAACCCCAACCAACCCCTAGATAAATCACTTGCTTTTTTTTTCTATAGCCTTCCTGCTCATAAAAGCAAGAAAATTCTCTGAGTCTATTGAGCAATTTCCTTTTGTTTTTTTTTTTAATGTGGAAGAACGTTCCTCTTAAATACAGAGTTCCTTAGAATTTACTCATTTTTCATTACCAACCAACTAATAGTGCCTTCAATAAAATGTAATCTGTTGTGACAAACACAAAATTCTATCCCCTTTCAGAAAAAGCATTCTGAGATATTTAGATGTAGTACAAATGAAAACTGTGCACAAATCTTACATCTGTGTATTATCAGATGCATTTAATATATTAGAACCCCTTCATGCTGTTTCAGAAGCACAAGGAATTGTAGCGAGCAGACACTTCTGGAAAATAGTCGTAGCAGGTAGTGCACACTTAATTTTGCACCATAAGTCCTCGCTCCTTTCATCCTAGATGGAGACAAGGGGCAAAGTCTCATTCTGTGGGAGAGACATCTCTTCAGGTGCACTTGGAAAGCCAATTATAAGTTGCAACAGTGTTTTGCCGTTTTGATTCAAAATTAATTATATGATACAAATATTATCATGAGGGGAAAGAAAATCCAGAACTGCATTCTTCTTGGACGATGCTTTTAGCCCTTCCATGAATTTTAACTTGTTGAAACTTGCTACAATTTTATTAAGCATGTACTGCACCTTGAAATAAATGATCCTGCTGAGTATTGAGGAAGGCAGTCTGGGGAGGCCAACACTGTTAACTGTCACCACCGTCTGGCATTAGTTTCCTTCATTCAGTGTTGTCAGGGAGTCTATCCAAAATACAACTTTGTTTCAGAAAAAGTTTTATGAGTGATAGGCTCAACGCTCTTACTCTAGTAAAATGGCATCCCAGTATAAAAACCCTTGTTTTGGGGTGGGCTAAGGAAAGAAATTCTTCCATGGGAAGTTGTTCTTTAACACTCTGTTGTGACTATCATATAGATATAGATCTAGATACGGATACATGGTATATATATGATTGCACTTCATTAAAAATCCACAAATTTACACATTTCAAAACATCAAAGACACAACCTTCCCCCCCAGTAATAGCTTGGCTGATCGGCTTTTAACTTAAAACTGAGTTTGTTAAAGTTAATTTTTGCTAATTTCAGTCCTTTCTGGGAACAAATACAGTGTGAGAGGTCTTGGCTCTCTTGAAGTCAATGATTTAAGTGAACTACTGTCCCACAGAAGTGAAAGGTGTCAGTTTTCAACCAGGGCTGAGATTGCCTTATTACAGACTAGTTATTAATTCCAGTACAATCTTTCCCAGCTACAGATCTTAAGAATCTCCAAACCAGAGGTACTTGTGTAGTGCATTTAAGCTTGTTTAATAACAGACTAGCTAGTGGGAAAAAAGTTTAAAACAGTTGTTTCCTGCTTAAGATGTGGACAAGAGCGATCAGAAGAGTATTGATGTAGCTTCTGAATCTGCACTGCAGAAAGCAGTTCACCATTGGATCTGCAGAAAACTTGCGTATGCTCTGATGCAGCTGGTGCCCATCTGAAATACACTCCCTCTGAATTGTTTTGTTTGATGTGGCAGATGTCTGATGCTATTTGCTGCCTTTCCAGTAAAAAAAGGAGTCATTACAAATCCAGAGTCCGTATTGACACATCTATACCCAAGCACCATCTGGAAGCCATGTATCTGCCACTGTGTAGTGATTGCCATCCTCAAAGCTAGTAGTAACTTCAAGAGAAGCTCAAGGACTCATTTCTCCACTGTGTCCATGTAACTAAGTTAAAGCCCCCATTTAAGAGACTCTGGTGGAAGGAGTAAACATCCATAAATACTTAATGCTGGTATTGAAGGGCTTGGATCTTGTTCTAGATTGAAAGCTTGAATCTAGTTAAAGATTAATTATTACAACTGAATAGGTGCAAGTAATTCTATGTAAAATGCATTTCAGCTATAGCAAACTACCTAGTTTTGGATAATCTCTTTATTCTGGTTTACCTTTATCACAGAAACTATACTAGCATTTTTTGTGGCACTAAAATAGTACCCAGGCATAACTCAAACAAAGTGCAAACCGGGTGATTAATTTCAGATTGTAATTCTAAAAAGCTCTTTTCCTTTCCTGTCTCATTTAAATTCTTTATTAATCTTAATGATCTTAATCATCTATGCTTGTAAGCAAGTAGTCTAAGAGTATTTTAAAATAATGTTAATTGGATGGCCTTTTATCTTCCTGACTTAATTAAAGTTTGAGCGTGTCTTGATAAGTTTCCATGTTTTTTAGCTTGAACCAATTTTAACTTTAATTCTAAATCTCTGAATGATAAGTTATTGTGTATACACCTTCATTTTCAGGGAGTGTCTTGGTGAAGCACATGAACCTTGTGACTGCCAAACCTGGAAGGACTGGCTACAGAAAATATCTGAAATGAAACCGGAAGAACGTAAGAGTCATGCCTGAGGGGGATTAATTTTTTTTGCTGTTGTTGTTATCTTTTGGTTTTAGAGGGATTTTTTAGTTGCGTTAAGTGAAAACTCTACATCGGTTGAAAAATAGGGTCAAAGAGAAAGAAAATTAAACCCTTGAATGAGGGGCTGCTTCACACTTTAACTGCATATTAGGCAGCACTAGTGGTAGACTGTTCTCCTTAAACCACTCCTCCCCATAAATCCGTGTGCGGTTCAGTCAGGGCATACAAAACTCTTTTCCCTTCCTCTTACAGCTTTGTTTCATTAATTAATTGATTTATTCCTGAATATAACTTTATTTGTCCTGGGCAATTTTAAATCTTGTAGCCCAGTATGCACTTCTGTTTGAGTTGTGTTCCATGCGGTTGTCTGTGTGCTTTAAAACTAGTTCAAGCCAACAGGTGATAATAATAGTAAGGTTGAGGGTGAATTGCAAGGGAATAGTGAGGAATGGCTTAATGATAATTACTGAAAAAACTAATAAAGGTTGGGTTTACACAGGACAGACATTTTCTTGGTCAACAGAAACAAAAAAATTAAAGATTAACAATAATTTGAATAAATACTGACTTAACTTGGTTACCACAGTTCAGAGCCATTCCATAATGTGTTATAAGTATTCTGGAAAGCATAGAAAATTTTATAAAGAGGCAAAATACACCATACTTTGTCAAACTATGCCAATTTTTCTCATATATGTATTTGCTCATTTATATATTATAAATGTCATATATAAATTTGTATAGAAATATATGTGTGGAAATATGTAGAAATAATACGTGTCATGGTATTATATATGTATAAATTAGAAAATGTATATATTTATATATGTGAGAAATATATAGTGAAGAATTACAATATTCTGTCAAGAAACAGGTAAACGTACATATTTCCTAATCTGATTTTCACAAAAGATTACACAAGTACAATTTCAATTTCTCTGTTTTTGCATGCTCCATATCCTCCTGTCACCCTCAAAAAGTTGTGGGAGTGAGTGAGGCATATGAAGATGCTGCCAACTGCCTGTGGTTACTAACGAACTCCAAACCATGTGCCAACTGCAAATCTCCAATTCAGAAGAATGAGGGCTGCAACCACATGCAATGTGCAAAGGTAAGAAAGACCCTTCATATAATTTGTTGTGAAACCATAATTGAGGCTGTGTATGTCATGTATACATTTAGGAGCACAGACTTCCAAAACCTTTGAATGTCACACCTGAGATCTAATGGAACCTGTTGCAAGAATTAGATAATTGACAAATGGTGGGTTACATGTATTTAGAAAATGTTTCATATTTAGTGAAATCTGTTTGGCTGGCAGGTGAACGCTGTAATGATCAAAATTTCATAAACACCTAAGAATTACTGGCAATACATAAGTATAAAACTTAAAGAAACAGAAATAATTGATAGTTTAATCATCATTAGTAACGTAGAAGAGAAAGAACATTTTTAGTTGGCAGAAAATGAAACATTTTAAGGAATGGTAAGCTCTAATGAAGGTTTTGCCTTACTGCGTTTTTCTTTTGCATTATTTCTCTAACATAGCAATAAAACAGAGAGGTTTTAAATGGAAAACTGTAAACAGGAGTTAATCAGTAGGAATGAAAAGTCAGCAAAGAGTAATTCCAAAAGAAACTTACTGGTGACAGCAGCCAAAAATTTAGTCATGAGTTTGCACTATGCTACCGAAATAGGAAAAATATTTGTTGCCATGAGTTCAGTATCATTTGAGAATGCTTTTTCACTCAAATTAGTTAAAAGCAGCATATTTAGAATACTGTTTCTTTATGTTAGAAATTTCTTAAGTAACTACAGCGAATACCTCTTTGAGGAGCATCACTAAAAATAAGAAAGTAGCACACACTTGACGTAGTTGGCCTCCAATAAAAGCTAAAAGATTTAGAAAGTAATTCTCTTTATTTTTCTGGAAATGTGTTAGTCTCTCTCCATTGCTATGCAGATCCCATTTTCTTTGTATTATCATCACATATTCTCTCTCTTTCTGTGTTATGAATTGAAGGTAGGGGCTTTTTTGGTGTCATTTCTTCGGTTTTGTCTGTGGCAGCAGAGAACAGATTCTCCTCCACTTTGGTTTATGCCAAATTTGCAGTCTTCTTTTTTTTTTTCTTAAATGATTTTTAAAAGAAGTCATGCATTCCATAGTGCTAAAAACTGTAAAAGGTATGTTTGTTGCAGCTTTTGCCACTGAGCTCATCTCGGTCAAACAAAATATGGCTTCAGGCTGGAGAAGACTTTGGCCATTAAACACTGTTGAATGTAATAATTTAGTTCAGTACCATTCTGAGGCACTGGCTGACAACCACAGTTCTCTTTTCTTCTTTGATGCTATGCCTTATAAACAGCGTAAACTGTCCTTAAAACAGTCAGATTCCTTTTGTGGTGGAGAAATCTCTGCAAAGAGAAGCTGCCTCCCCTCAGCCTAGTGAGGAAGGAAAGGAAGGGTGTCTTCAAGCTCATTGCAGAGCTCAGACACAAAGTATAGTGGTCACCTCGCTTGTTTCTTCCTCCACTGTGACAGAGCTTCTGCCCTTGCTGCAGAAGGTCTGCTCAAGCCTACTACATGATGAGCTAGGTTTGCCTCTTAGCAGCTAGCATTTACCTTGGTGTAGAAGAGGATACTCTTTACTCATAAAATCACATTTCTGTACTTAAGCAGTCATCTTACTGTTTTATGAGCCAGGTTTCTAAGGAGACAAGGCTTAGGCAGTCCTGCTCTCTCACTCCCCTACCTGTAGTAGTTTTTTAACCTTCTGGGTACTTTGCACCACATACGAAGGAACAGGAGGGGGTTCACAGATAGTAAATTACTGCAAGTGTCATGAAGCTTGGTAGCTCTATGGTGCAGAGACTTAATTTGTACTGCCACCAAGAGAGAGGCTGAAATACCTACTCAGCAGTTACCTGCTTAGCAATTATCTCTTCTGCTTGGCTCAGACAGTGGCCAGGCAACAGATGTGATTTGTTAAGCCTAGGCGGTGCTGCTGCATGGCTAGGTGATCATGAAGGCACATAAAAAAGAGCTCAGGGTTTTGAAAGATGTGTAGAAACAGATGATGTGGTTTTGAATGTTTAATGAGACTGAGGTATTGGAAGAGGGTCTGGGAACACTGGGTGAATCTTGGGTTTTTGAGGAGGCTTTTGGAGATGTGAGAGATTAGAAGATAGATATAATGGAGTGGTCATGGAGGGAGATAATTTGGGAGAGGTGAGATTATTGCAGTAGGAGCATATGCGTATAGAATCATAGAATCATAGAATC